TCACTCGATATGTGGAAGAAATTGGCCCTTAACATATGTTGTTGCCAACACATCATAACTCCACCAGGACATGATTGTGGACCACATATTTGTGCTTCATAATCACCAGGGAGGCTACGAAGAACGAGGTCGCTCGCCTCATGTTTTCCAACACGGGCTTCCAAAATGATGAACAACATCGGGTTAATTTATTGTGCAGGGCTGCGAAGTGTTCCGTGAAGGAGGGCCATGTGCACCCTCGGGCGTTCCAAAGTAGAATGTGCGACCCCCGAGCGAGTACGCCATACTGTTCGGTAGCTGACGAAAGATGTTCTCCTTTATAGGTAACACGGTTGTACCGTTTACGTATGGGCTAGCGATGGTTAACACTGGGATTAAAGGTACAACCTTCAACCTGGAACCTCAGGTGGATGTTACTAGTATCGACCGTCATGAAGTGGAGGGTATCCGTGAAAGAGCCAACAAATATTGTGCGCCACTTCGTGGGGAAACTGTAAGCAACTATGGAGTCGGTACTAAGATTGGGCTTCAATTTAACTGCTTCCTGTATTTCAGGTGATACTGTGACAGGGGACGGGGAGAAATAGAACCTGTCTATGAGCTAGTACAGCATGACATAGGCTCCCTCGTCATAGCAGCCCACCAAGTCCTCTAAAAGAGGAAGGTGCCCCGTCGTCGCCTCCCATCTTGTAACACCATGCCATCAGTGGCAGCACATTGACTGGAGGAGATGTGCTCTAATGGACTGCACAGGCTGGTATATCCCATTGTAGAAGGTGTAGGAGTATCTGAAATACTTAACTAAATTCAGGTTTAATTCGGATTCCCCCCTCTCTGTTTTTTTGAAAATACAATATCGGTTGTTCCGGGTAGGGTAAGGGTTGGTGACGTGAGATACAATATTCACAACAGAAGTTCCGGCCATTATTGTTTCTTATAATGATAAATGGAAGGTAATGGATGCAGAAGTTGGATAGGAATAGAAAGCGAATTTATTTTTGGTGACATTATTTCAAATTCTTTTAAACTGATGTGTCAGTTCCATATTGTATTTTCTTGTCAAATACAGCACAATGTCTTGGACATTGTGCCAAGGTACAATTGACTACTGTGTAACCATTTGCCTTCTTACAGAACTAGATGTACCACTGGACGTATTGTGTAAGCTTTAACCTTCAGTTATCATACATCAAAGCACGATGATGTCTATATTGGCATTGCTTTGTCATTGGCCAAAAAAGTGTCTCGTAAATTAAGGTGAGTTACCATGGTGAAACCATGTAATTGGCCCTCTACCCCCACTCATACTTGGTAATGTCTCATACACCCATTCGTAAATCGTATCTGCATTGTTGGTAATGCAATTGTGACAGAATAACAATTGTTGGACGGGGCTTAATTAGAAGGATTCAACAAAAGAAGAATTTACATTGTATATATTGTTAGGGGCGCCACACACGTTCACACACCCACTAGTATGATTCCCTTTGGGCCGGTTATGCCCGCACGAATTTGTTTTTGGGCACAACCCAAAAGGCCCATACTAGTATAGTGAACATCTCATTAATAAGGAGTTATCCTCCTCCTTATTTCTTCCATGTGGGACTTGGGATGGATGCATATTCCCAACATATATATGTTCGGTTTTACAAATTTGCGATTATGAGGTATATGTATAACTGGTGCTAGAATACGATGGTAATTTGAGTCGGTTAATAAAATGTACAATGGTAATTTAAGTTGTTATTTATGTTTGTACCATAATATGTGTATGTGTTAGGTCGTACGTAAGGCACTACTACATTTTTTATCTATTGCAACCCCCAAATCCGTTGCATTATGCATCAAAATCCGTGGCATTAGGCCTAATGCAACGGCCATGTACCGTGGCATCTGCTGGCGTTGCAGTAGGTCTAATGCAACAGCTTATGACACCTAATGCCACGGCACCACTGATCCGTGGCAATAGACCAATACCTGTTGCAACGGCATAACTTATCCGTGGCAATAGAGTACTGACTAATAATTATGATGAAATTAAACCTATTGCAACGGATGAAGCTAATTAATACAATGATAGGAGTACGTATCTACTGCAACGGATTAATCATTGGTTTTTTTTTTCTTTTTTTTTTGTTAGGATGGAATGGTAATATAAAATATGTATTATTAGTCATTACAAATCTAAATATACTAACAGAAACAAATTAAAGTATCATTTATATATAATAATTATAATGTGAAATACGTACATTACAAAATATTAATTGCTTGTTTTTGGTATGACATACCCTACTAATAATAAATAAAAGTTAGATAATTAATTTAATCGTCCAAAATACAAATTGTCAACATATATATAAGCCGAAATTTTCCAAATCTTCACAAAGCCGGAACTTGAATAAGAGTCGCCAATATATATGCACCATTTGTTAGATGACTAGTCACTATACTTCCACTCCATTTAATTCCCCATGCACCTACACGTAAAAATTGAAAAAAATAATAGAAATATAATTGAACTAAATTATAAATTATAATAGACCAAGGCCACAATCAACATGAGAAAAGTTCAAAACGCACAGATGATGGTTGTTTAAAAGATGGCAGCAAAGAAGTTTATTTTTTTATACAGAAAGGAAAATATTATTAATTTATAGTGGCAGTAGCCACATTAATTACCAAAAGATAAACATTCCAAGTCTGAAAAGCAAAATAGCACCCCAGAATATAACAAAGTACTAGCTAAATAACCAACAAGAAATAGAACTAAGTAGTAGTCAAAAGTATTCTAGGTGATTGTGACTGACAAAAGACATGATCAAAAGCACCAGATTCATGCATCATTAGACTATACTTAGCAGCATCATTAAAACTACACATAGTTGCAAGGTAGTGCTGATTTACCCAAAAAAAAAACCTAAACACCACCATAGAGAAATCAGTTCTTGTACATTTAGATGTTACAGAATCATGAGCATGCATCTTCTGGTTTTTTTTCTTCCCAGAAGAAACAGGAGCATCCATAGCCATACGAATGCCCAAAGCAACTAGTTAATGAGCCATATAGAACAACACACTAGTGCCTCTGAGCATCACTAATTGTCATAGCCTGAAAGAGCTACCTTCTGATTTGGGTATGTTGGATTCACTACAAATCCTGAGAGTCTATGCTTGGAAAAAACAGGGTTTTTTTTTTTAATTTAATTTTTTGTGTTTTGTTTATTTTATTTTTTAAAATGCATAGGCATATGATTTGAATGATTGCATATGCTTTTCAATAGTATTATTAATTGGGAAGTAACTACTATGTGATTAAGGGTCATTCAAAATCATTTACTTGCATTCGTTATAACAAAATAGTTCAATTAATCCCAAACAAAATCAAAGATGGACTCCACAACAAAATAGTTCAAACAATCCCAAACAAACTCAGAGATTGACTCCACTGGCATGATGCTTGACAAGTCAAAAAGCCAACTTAATTAATTGAACACTTACAGTTCAAATGCTACATAGTGTATTGAGTAAATGACATTCAATTCGTACGACCACTTAGAATAATGCCTAGATCCTTTCCATTTAGTTCCTTTCTTAAAAAAAAAAATTGTATGTATTTTCCATTTGTGCATTTACTGAATTTCTAGTAAGTTGATCTGATGGCCTCTGCGGTTTATTGCCAACTTAATAATGCTTCTCTTACTCTGAATTGAAAAAATTAATGCTATATATTTATGCATGACTTAATAAAATAGACTGAAACACAACATTTGGAGCCAAAATAATCTTATCTTTTTCTTTTCCTTAAACCCTCCAAAACCCACTATCATATACATGATATGCCCTTCCTCCACTGGGTAATTTAATTGGCCACAACTAAGGGACAAGACCAAAAGACATGTACAGCGTATAAACCCTGTTATTTAAATCTGATTTATACAAGAAAGTCTATATACTCAGTATATTTACGGAGTAAGTTTAGTTGTGTGGATCCAAGGAAATTGATTCAAACTCAACCAAAATAAACAAATTAATAAATCCTGTAAAAACACAATTTATCATGCTATTTTGTCATCTAATTAATTAAATATAGCGTCATTATGCAACCTATTAATATTAAATCAGAGTTCCTTACTGTCCAAGAAAAGAGAAATCAAAGTGGATTAATTAGCTTGATTACATTCTTTTGTTCGTTTAGGTCAAGCATGCACATGAGCTTGAACAATGGCTATAGCAATTAGAAAAAAGTAATAAACTTGGATCTCTAAAGTCTTACCCCATGAATGAACCAAATCATCCACCCCAAATCAATTTTCAACTAAACACAAAAGCAAAAACTTCAAATTTAATTCTCAAAAACGAAAATTCGTTGTTTACCCTTTAAAATTCAACAAATGTAGAATAGGCACACCATCACTAACTTAGGACGGGAAACATAATCAATTACTCAGATACATCAACAAAAACCAGAACAAATTACCATACTATTTGCAAATGAAGAGCTAGTAATTTGAACAGATTCAAAATAATATAGTCAACCAATCTTAATTTTGGAGCACGAACTTGCTGCCCTTTATTACTTTGATTTTTATTATCTACCCAACGTTGCCTGGTCTGGTTCCAGAGATAGAGACATGCCAACAACATATTAGAAAATATGAGAATGAATATAAAAGGAATTCAGACGTAATGCAGTTATGTAGAAAAGATAAAGCCAATCTGACAAGCTTCAAACAAAATGAACAGAAAATAGAAGTTCATATAGTTCATTCACCACCCACCTTAGCAATGCATTGATTAGTGTAATCAGAGACAGTTAAATGACAGGACAAGATATGATACTACAACTGTAGAGCAAAAATATTACCAGATCATATGAATTTACAGAACAGAGAAAACAGCAATACGTACAAGTATAGAGGTGTAGCAACAACTAATTTAAGAGCTAAAACCAATAACACAATATCAAACTATTCCAAAGCTTGGCAAAATCAGAATTGCAAAATCAGGCTGAAATCTAAAAACTCTAACTCCTAGGATATGCCAGCTTGTTCAATCAAGGGATGTTTTGATCTAGATTGGTTAACAGATTGAGTTGTATACACATGCAATTATGAAAAAACAAATTTCGGCCACCAATTATCAAAAATAAATAGTTAGAAACTTGGATCACTAAAGTCTTACCCCATGAACCAAATCAGCCACCCCAAATCAGTATATCTTCTTATCCATTTATATGAAATTCCTCCCAAAAAACCCCATTATACTACTCAAATACAATATTTAGTACTTCTAGGTTTCAAAAATAAAAAAATAAAAAATCTCAATTTTGCTATACGAAACCCATTAGCCGTTTAATTCCAAGAGTTACCAAAGCATAAACATCATCTTCCATGGCATCAAATACAAATTCCCAAACACAAAAGCAAAAACTTCAAATATAATTCTCAAAAACGAAAATTCGTTGTTTACCTTAAAGAGAATTTCGAGCAATCAGCTCAAGGAAGCAACATGCAACAATGAAATTGAGACCGTCTGTACCGCTATTAGCCACCACCGCTTGACTGCCGCTATCAGCCACCACCTCCGATCCTGACTGCCGCCTTCGTCTACTACTTCCTCGTAATCATTTGCTTATTTTTCCTCTTCGAATTTTTGAACGATTTTTTTTCGTGATTTTCACCTCAGAATTTCTAGAGTTGAATGTGAGATGATGGGGGAAATAGAGAAATGGGGGAAATTGAGAAAATGGAGAAATTGGGGGAAATTAAGAAATTGGAGAAAATTGGGTGAGAATGGGTACTGTGACTCTGTGAGAATGAGTGGAGAAAATGGGTGAGAAAAGTAAACATCACGTGTTGTTCAAAATTTGGGTGAAAAAATTAGAGGGAACAATGCGCGCATTATCTAAAATTTTCATGATATAACACTACCGTGGCATTAGCTTTCATTTTTGTTAAAATAGCTAGGCTATTACAACGGTTCTTTAGAGCCGTGGCAATAGCTCTACCTCTAAGAGCATTAATTGGCAATAGCCTACTCTATTGCAACGACAATAAAAATACCGTTGCAATAGGCTATCTATTGCCACGACATTTGGATAGGGCGTTGCAATAGCTCATTTTTTGGCGTTGTATTTGATCAAAAATGTAGTAGTGAGGGTTGTTATTCGAGCACAACCCGAACCCTTTTGCATTGTTGAAATCTGAATGGGACCCAGATACGAAATTCGTTGTAACCAATACACACAAAAACAAGAACAATTTCAGTGGAGAAACACCCTCAACTTAACTAAAACTGATTAATAATTTGAACAATAAACCGTTTATTACCCGGATCGTCTGCAACCAAAATATTATTAAAACCACTAAATAATAAACAAAAACCAAATCGGACTAATAATCATTTAACCAGACCTGAAAATGTCCCAAAATAAACCGTTTCACACCGCAACCGGTTTGCAACGACCCGTATTCCAATGCCGGACAAATTAGATAAATATCACACCCACAACCACTACATTCCTTTCACAAAACCATAATTGGCAAAGAACTTGTTCAACTGTCTTACCCACACAAAGATATTCAATCCAAATGAGTTCCTCCACACCTCCAAAACCCCAACCACCACCATAGTCCGATCCTTTCCAAAACCTCTCCGCCGTTGAGGAAAAGGAAGACCACGTTCCGCCGTCGCAGCCTACTAGCGGATCTAGCGTGTGGCGTCAGGGGCGCCGGTCCAAAAGGACGCCATGGAGTGTGCCAGTCATATGTTTGCTTCGATCGTCGAAGATCCTCTACTTGATCTAACGACGCAAAGAAGAGGCCGCCCTTCTACATTGCCCAAGGTTGGTTCTAAAGATGTTGTTTCCGAGTAAACCCAGAAAACCAAGAAATTGAATGGTGAGGACAAGCATTTTGCCGTTGAGGAGTACAAGGATGTAGCTGCTGAGGAGCACACGGAGGTCGTTGCTCCTGTTGAGGAAAATAAGGGCCTTGCTGTGAAGGTGTTGCTGTTCAGCAAGTTATTGACATTCCAGGTGACGACCCCGTTCGGGAAGAAGATGATGATGTTGATGATGTGGTTGTCCTGGCACCTGCCACTACAATGCCAGGGCCTGTACAGCCTGCTGCGAATCGTCGGTCTACAGCTAAGCAAGCAAGGGTTGGTCATCCAACTCCCGACAACTTATTTCCAAAGATCTCATTCAGGGTTCAGAGCCTAAACGACGATGATCCCGGCCTCGAGTATAAACTCAAGATCAATGAATCATTCAAGAATGTTTACTATGACTATTCTAGGAGGGTAGACTGTCACTCGAATGATATTACTATCGTGAACGCTCGCGACATCGTTCTCTGTAATAACAGTCCAATGTTGGGTGGTATTGTGAATGGGGTTGTCCTATGGGTTCGGAGCAAGGTTCGGTTCTTATCCTTCCGTAGTAAGAAGTCTGTCATTAATATTTAGTTGAGGTTGTTTATGTGTTGGTATTTTGGTTAAATAGTAGCTGTTAATTTAGATTTAGTGTAGTTACTAAATAAGTTATAATTGTAGTTGGTTTAATTTTATTATTTTTTGTTAGATCTGTAGAATTCGTAGTTGTTAATTGAGTTTGGACACATGGTAAATTAGTTGTTGTTTGGGGCACTTCCAGAATTAACACCCTCCGTTCTGTACAACGAAAGTCAATGTTTACGGTTAATGGAGAAAAATGTTTTCTGATGAAATTTGATGAATTTTATGTCCACAAAAATATAGTTAGTAACATTAGTGTTATTTCATTCGTGTTGAAATTAGGTCGTCCAAACAAAATTAAAACGTTGACTGTATGTTAAATTTTAGTGAAATTGTCATTGTGACTAACGTTTGCTGTTAATGTCGTTCAATTTAAGTACGACATATTCGTATAATGGAATAAGTACAGTGGCCTGTTTCGGAGTATTACACTTATACTTTATACAGTTATTCATTTCGTTTAATTTGTGTTTTAACACTACTAATTTAACCCGTAAATTAAAAATACGTTTTAGCTGAACTTCGGTATTATTACAGTCGTGTTTAAACTTAGTTACATTGTGAAGCTGAATTTCGTTTTCACGTAGGAACCTGAGGCCAACATGGATGTTCGTAAGAAGCTAGTATATCTCCGAGAGCCTCGAACACGTGCAGTTAGGAAGAAGGTATTAGTCAAGCTGGTTGATTCTCTGGACGGCCTGTTTCGAGCTTGGAGTGAGGAGGTGAATGTGTGCCCAAGTAAAATCCTTATGATTCACGAGAACAAGAAGGTCTCGTCATTAATGGATGTTAAGGGTGCGGCCATGAGGAATGGCGATGAAATCTTTTGCTTCACAGACAAATAGGGCATGTGGAACCCTTACGTGTATGTGTCTGTGAACGAATATCAACTTCCCTTTTATAGGATGTGTAATGATCCTTTGCGTATGGTTTAATTATGTTTTGACTATGGTCCTTGATGTAATGATCTGTATGGGTACATGTTGTGGCTTATTTGGTGTTAAGTAGTTCGATTATATAATATAATATATTTGTTGGTGTTTGTTCGTTGAAGTGTTGTTAATACCCAATTATGTTTTCAAAACAGTTATGTGACGCTAAACAAATTAATTGTATGTCCATGAGCAATTTTCAAATAAACACAACGGTATTTTAGATGTTAGGGGCTCCGCACACGGTTCACACACCCACTAGTATGATATTGTCCGCTTAAGGTCGGCTAAGCCCGCACGGATTTATTTTTGGGCATTACCGAAAAAGCCTCATCCTAGTATAGTGAACATCTCATTAATAAGGAGTTATCCTCCTCCTTGTTTCTTCCATGTGGAACTTGGGATGGATGCATATTCCCAACATTAAAGTGGCATGCAAGCTTGACATTAGTGTTGGAACATCCATCACGTCACTTCACCACAACCCTTTCTCTCTCATTCTCATCACTTAACCACGTCCCTTCTCGACCATTTCTGTCTCATCCGTCCCTTTTTCTCTTCATACTCCTTCTAAATCTCTTGTATTTTCGCTCGATCTAGAGTCCATATACCAAATATATCATGGAAATTATTACCACTAAATGGATAATAAGTGACAAGTGAATAGGGTGATGTACGACGCAGGTATTCGTACCACCCTGAAGAGGTATAAAACCATTTCATTTTTCAGTGGTTCATTGTATGACAAGATTTGTACCACCAAAAGGTGGGTGGTACCAAAGTTGTCTTAGTGGTACCGTTGATCACATGACACGCTGTACTTGAAACTTGACACGTGTGACCACCTGCGTCGAGTCAAACACAGAATTCCAGGACTGTGATACATAGTCACCAAAGAGAACTCTACTATTGCACCCGCTCATTGCCTCTTGAATAGTTTCCAACTGTGCTCTATGGTCATATATCCGAACGTTTTGATTTGCAAATCACGAATATTCTAGAGTACTGTCACTTAGTTATCAGTAACTTGACTAGTAACTAGTCATAATTAGGTATTAGTAACTTGACTACTAATTAGTTGTTGGTCACTTGCCTACTAATTAGTTATTAGTAACTTAACTAGTAACTAGTTATTACTCACTTGCCTACTAATTAGTTATTAGTAACTTGACTAGTAACTAGTTATTATTCACTTGACTACTAACTAGTTATTAGTCACTTTACTACTTAGTTATTAGTAAATTGACTACTAAATAGTTATTTGTCACTTGACTACTAATTTGTTATTCATAACTAGTCGTACCTGACTTTAGTGGTACCAAAGTTGTCATAGTGGTACCCTTGATCACATGACCCGGTGTACTTGAAACACGACAGTTTGATTGGTAAAATGGTTTAACAACCTAAGTCGAGTCAAAGACATCATTCCGGGAATGCGATATATAGTCACTACAGTGAAATCTAGTATTGATACATGTAGGTGTTGCGGGATAAATTGGCATTGAACCCGCTACCAAAGTTGTCATAGTGGTACCCTTGATTACATGAGCCAGTGTACTAGAAACACAACACGTTTCATTTGGTAAAATGGTTTAACAACCTACGTCGAGTCAAAGCATCATTCCGGGAATGCGATATATAGTCCCTACAGAGAAATCTAGTATTGATACATGTAGGTGTTGCGGGATAAATTGGCATTGAACCCGGTTACTGCCATTCAATGCTTTCCAACTGTGCTATACGGTCATCGTAAATATCCGAACGTTTGATTTGCAAATCACTAAGATTCTAGTGTACTGTGACTTAGGTATTAGTAACTTGACTAGTAATTAGTTGTTAGTATCTTCACTACTAATTAGTTATTAGTAACTTTACTAGTTGTTAGTTATTAGTCACTTGCCTACTAATTAGTTATTCGTATCATGACTAGTAAGTGACAGGTGAACTATGTTAGGGGTAATTATTCAACTAATATGATGCTGGAAAGTAAGTAACACTACAGGGAAAAAATATTACTCAAAAAAATACTTTCAAGACAACTTCTAGGTTAATGGTACATTATAATTGCATAATAGTATGTAATGGTATGTTATATTGTACCACCGTAGAGTCAGTTTCTGTCCATAAACTTGTCGAATTTACCTTCTTGCCCTTCCGTATGCTTTGTAAATACATCGGGACTATAACACATTAACACCCAAATATACAATCCTCGACTGATGGTGAGGTGCACGTCACCCCGTTGTTGTTTGAACTATTACGAATGCCCGTTTCTGTCATTTTTTATATTCAGGGGTTTTACTTTCAGTTTCATTTTTAGGTCCAAAATTAGTCTCTCCCTATTCATCTCCCATTTCCCTGCAGTTACTGTGCTCTGTTCCAAAGAAGAGACTAAGACGCTGGTTGCTGCTGTATTTACTGTGCTCCGAAGAAGAGACTAACACAGTGGTTGCTGCCGTAGTTACTGTGCTCCGAAGAGACTAAGACAGCGGTTTCTTCCGGAGCTAAAAAGAAATTTTGGTTCGTCGGTAGTTCCGTGAATTGTTTTCCGGCAGTCGTTGCTTCCTTTGTCTTAATTGAAGGTATGGACTGGAATTGTTTTTCCGGCAGTCGTTACTTGCGACAGTCGTTGATTCTTTGTCTAAATTGTTTCTACGGACTCAATTGTTGCATTTTAAAAAAATTTATTTGTAACCTGAACACAAAGTTAACAAAACCCTTAATTGGAATGCATTAGTTTTTATTATGTTTTAATTAATCTGATTATCTAGTGAAATTAGCGAAATAGGGTTTCCTTTGCTGATCAACTTTATAATTGGAATTAATTTGAGGATCATGGGTCAGGTCATTCGGTTCGGGTCATCGAGTCTGAGGCAGGATTTCTAGGTCTATATACCTAACTAAATTCCTTCCTCTTTTTCTACAGTTCCACCCTCACTCTCTCTTTCTTTTAAGTTTTAACAGTGAATTTCATTCGCCTTACTTGTCATGAAACAATTAAATTACTTCGTATTTTATATCAAAAGTTACAACTATAGAATAACATACCTACGTATAAAAATAACTTAAATAACAACACTTGCATCAAAGCGGGCCAAAATGCTAGTTTTATTTAAATTTGATTTACAGTGGAACAGAATCACAATGATGATCATGGAGCGGGTATTTTTGTAACTATACCATAGCTTATTTTAAAAACCATATTAATGACTCGATCCACGACTTAAAATTGACCCGAACCCAAACTTACCCAACCCGATCCATACCCTACCCGAACTGGAGTTCACCCGAACGTGACTCGATACTCGAAACATGACCCAATACAATTGTATCCAACCCAAAATTGATCCGATATCCGAAGTGATGACCCGAATTGATTGACCAGAACTATAATTACCTTATAATGTTTTTATTTTTTATTTTTATTTTATTACAACAATAGCACTTATAATGCTTCTAATACTGTAATACACATGGTTTTTGTGGCCAACTAGCAAGTTTAACTGTTCAAATCAACAACAAAAAAACGTTTTTTGTAACACAGTCTTACATGATACGAGTAGTGTGTAATTTTGTAATTCACTAAGATTTCCACTTTATTCATCAAATTTCTATATCTACATACATGCACAATTAAAAATTAAAATGAAGCTGAAAATTGACATGACTCAAAATGAACCGATCTAAACTTGATTCGACATAGTTGACAATTGGACTTGAAAATTAACCCGACCCGAAATGGCCCAACTCAAAGTGACTTGATTCAAACCCAACCCGATTATTTGTTAAACCCAAAATTTAAAGTGACCCAACTTGAACTTAACCCGATTATTTGTTGACTTAAAAATTACCCGACCCGTTGCCATGCAACCCGAATGACTTGTTTATCGGAGATCAAATATTATTGAAAAAATAGAAAATTGTGATAAGATAATATTTGTAGCCCTTCATGGGAATTAGGGTTACAAATAAGAATTATTTAATTACTTCGTATTTGGTATAAATTTAGTAATATATGAAAAAATTAATTTAAGTTTAATTTTTTTTTGAAGTAACTTACTTGTAAATTAGCGTAATGGATTTTTTTTTAATTTTTTTTAGCACCTTACTAGCTAAGATCTTGTGCAAATTAGGGTGAAACAACTTAAAATCGAACCGAACCGCAAATCAAATCGAATTAGTAATGCGGTTTGGTTTTTTATTTGTTAATATGGTTCAATGCGGTTTGAGAAATTAAAAAAATTGTGGTTTGTGGTTTGTTTCGGTTTTATCATTTAAAAAACCGAAAGAACAAAATCAAAACCGAAATATAGGCCCATATCCAAATTATAGCCCAAATTTGATTTTCAACTTTACTATATAAGGCTAAAAACAAGTTATATTGAATCAGGCCCAAAAAAGATACAAGTCAAAACTTAAAACATTAAGCCCAAAAAATTGTGGTGCGGTTTGGTTTTTGTTTTGAAACCAAATTAAAAGTGATGTGGTTTGGTTTGGATCAAATATGGTATAGTGCGGTTTAAAAAAATCTCAAACCTAATATGGTTTGGTTTTAGCTTGGGTGATAATTAAACCACACCCCAAACTGAACTTTCACTCCTACGTGCAATGTATGATTTTACTAAAATTTATAAAAAAATTTACAATAATTTGCATGTAATTCAATTTTTTTTTTTTACAAACTCTTTATTATAATAAGGTTCATATTCATTAAATATTATGATTTTTTGTAAAAATAATAATATCTACTTAAATTTCTATATATAGTTGTAAGAAATTATATTGATTTTGGGAGGAAAGGATATCATTACATTGAAATTATTATTTTAATACAAAAGATATGAAAGATTTGAAATGATACATATAACTTGAATATAATTATGACAAAAAAGTGGAAATAAAAAGTCCTTGTGACAAAATTTCCACAATATATCAGTAATAATCAAAGAGCATAACAATACAAAACATGAAAAAACGAAATGAAAACTATTCAAAGCAGCAACATGCTATAATGAGAGTTTGTAGCAGCTAGCTTAGAGTTAGAGAGATTACCATAGATTGTATTAGTAGGATTAAGATTTGTCTGGTTCTTAGCAGCCTCGCCAATGAGGCGATTGCTTTCATTGAAGGCTACACAAGATGGTGTTGTACGGTTGCCTTGGTCGTTCACAATGACTTCAACTTTATTATGTTCCCAAACAGCTACACAAGAGTATGTTGTCCCGAGATCGATTCCTACCGCTGGCCCAAAAACTTCTCCTCCATTCTTGCTCATTTTCGTGCTATTATTTATTACTGCAGCTAGGTTTGAGACATTAGTACTCAGTTAACAAATTAAGTACAAACACAACGTAAAATAAAAAGTTGGAAGAGTAAACTACTCTATTTGTCCAACATCTCACAATCAATAATCCAAATTAAAACATACATGTGAAAGGACCAATTTAACTAAAAGATTAACTAATGTTTGAAGCTCATAATTTAGTTTTTTTATACTCTATTATATGGTTCATATCCCTCACGCTAGCTCTTCATATTATGTCAAAGTAATAACTTAACAAAAAGTTTAACCTTATAATTAAAACGAGGGCGTCCCCATTACTCACTGTGAGAAACGTTTTTGTTTCTCACAGTGGCAGTTTCTTAAATAAAATGTACCACTTTAATCACGGTGGTACATTTTATTTATGAAATGGATGATAAAATTGTACCACTTTAGTCATGGTGGTACATTTTATTTACGGAACTGCCACTGTGAGAAAAAAAACGTTTCTCACAGTGAGTAACAGAGATTTACTGAATTAAAACTCATCATACACCTTCAAAAGAGAATTGGATGGATTATACATGTAACAATAAGAAGAGAGTTAGATGACTCGAAAATTTTAACAAAATAATTTGAGGAACTTACAATTTAGAGGCTGGTGACTGGAAATGACTTTTAAAACGTACTTAGAGCGAGACTAAGGAAAGGAACTTTTTATAATGAAATCAAGTAGAGCAAAAATTTAATGACTTATTGACTCATTCATTGACTGGACAATACCTTTATTTATTTATTTATTTATTTATTTATTTATTTGTGTGTGTGTGATTCATAGAGTTATTTTGAATTTTCTTTTATTTTGAGATAATGCTAAGGCTATATTCGTAAACTAAATAAGCAAGATTGGTTTGTTTCTTACAAATTCCACATAACAATACGAAATGTTTGATGTGACTCGCCCCTTACAAGATGTATTTTGAAGACTATTCCATTCCTTAATTCATAGTACCATACTTCTAACATTATTAGGAGTACGCGTTATTACCAAGATTGTTTGTATTCATCCAACACGTTCATGAACAAGACTCTTAGAGTCAGTCTCCGGTGAATATGGTCCATTTGTTGTGATTTTTGTTAGACATATTTCATCAGAACTTGTTCTTTCGAGTTAAATTGAATTGAAGTTAAGTCATACTATCGCTTTTTTATTTTACAAATGATGCAAATATCTAATGCAACCCTTTGTTTTTTTTAAAAAAAAAGAAAAGTGTTACACTTTCACTTTTGTCAAATCACTAAATATTTTAATAGTTTTTCTATTTTTTTTTTTTTAATAATGTGCAACACAATTTTTAAGACACTTTTTTAAAAAGGTAATTAGAATAGGGGTGTGTTCAATTTACCATATTCTAATTAATCTGAAGTTATTAAAACTAATCAAAACTTACTTTATTTGTCAATTGAGCTTGAGTAACTCTTATTAAAACATAATTACACTAATCAAACTTAACTTAACTTATCTAAACATATAAGACTTTAAATAAGTGAAGCTTAGGTGAACACTACATGCCCTAAGTAAACAAATACATTTTTCAAAATAATTTTAACACTGGGAATAAGAAAGGATTAGGTATTTGTGTACAAATCATTTTGATTAACTTATCGCTTATATAATCTAATTCTCATGGCACATGCTATTTTTCCCGTAAAAAATAAGTATGTGCCATAAGAATGAGCTACAAAACAGAGTAAAAGAAAACAGATGAAGTATTACATACATCTCTCACTTCTTATGGTTCTCAACTAAACTCAAAACTTTTTTTTTTCTCCTCTCAAATCCCTTGTTCTTTCTATTTAATTATTTTATCTAAGAATATATGTCAATCAAAGTGTAACATTTAAAAAAACTGAGAGAATAAAAGACAAGGTTTAATATTTCTTTTAAGAAATTTACTTTAAATTAACACGGTGCAACCTTAATATCTCGCATTCCTCCACCCAAAGTATGATAACTAATTAGTATAAATTTTACAAACTATTGCGTCATTACGTACTGATAAAATGTTTCGTCAGTATAGCAAGTTTTTGCTTTATACCAATGATCGCTCCCATCGACAACGTTGTTATTGGCGGTGGTATCGTCGACGGTGAGAAACTCATTGATTGTTGATTATATTTGTCCATGAGTTATGCTTGAATTGGCTTGATAATTGCTTGAGATTCTCGGAAATTTTGAAAAAATGCCCAAAAAAAATCAATTTGGGGCTGTGTGATGTATAATTGTTGAAATTGATTGTCGTATGTGATTGTATATTGAATTGTGAGCGTTTTGATAACAAATAGATGTAAATGGTTGAGAAATGAGCATGTTAGCTGATACCCATAAGCTTAGTACGGGACCTTCAATGGTGGTTCCGCCATTGTTGACCTTCAATGGTAGGAAGACAATTATTGTATTTGTTTATTTTAAAAATAAAGATTACTAAATAAAATATGTACTTGTATAATTTTATTCATTCATTGTCTAGATGATATCATCTAAAGGCTGGATGATATCATGTATTGTGTCTACAATATTATTATACAATGGATAATATCTCTTTTTTTTTTTTTTTTAATATATCCTCTATTATTTTTATGATATGAGTATCTTCTATGAGTTGGATGATATCCTCTATTGTTTTGATGATATCCTCTATTGTTTTTATGATATCTGTTATAAGTTAGATGATATCCTCTTTTGGTTGTATGATATAAGCTAGATGATGTCATCTATTGTGTATATGATATCAACTATAGACTGGATGATATCCTCTATTGGCTACATGATATCATTTATAATTGTGTCTATGATATCCTTTATTGGCTGGATCATATCCTCTATTGACTATCATTTATAATTGTTTCTATGATATCATTTATAGGTTGGAAGATATCCTCTATTGGCTATAGATATCATTTATAATTGTGTCTATGATATCATCTATAGGCTGGACGATATCCTCTATTGGCTATATGATATCATTTATATTTAATTGTGTCTATGATATCATCTATAGGCTGGACGATATCTTCTATTGGCTATATGATGATATCCTCTAACAAACTGTAGTATCCTCTACAAAGATAAATTGTACATATCCTCTATCAAATACTACATATCCTATAACAAACAATACATATCCTACAACAAAACTGTACGTATCCTCTATTAAATAACACATATCTTCCAACAAGTTGTACATATCCCCTATCAAATAATACATATCCTGATCAAATACTGCATATCATATATACTTGACGCACGAATTGTTTGGTGCGGCTTGCCGCACCCAATACCTTCTCTATAAATTTTCAGTCCTTCCCACTAGGGTTGTTTAACACCGAACTATATATGATCAAATTGGACCGGATTCAAGACTGAAATTTGCAAATTAAAGAATTGGAGATTGAACAAGTTTTGCTTGGACCGATAAAGCAAGTCCAAAACCTGAACCTAACTGGTTGGATCAGTTTTTGATTTTTTCTATGGACTATATTTTTTAAAAATTATTTATTATGAAAAAAAAGAAAAAAAAAATGAAAAAAATTATTTATTGCCTATTTGGAACGTCTAAAATGAAACAACTAATAGTGTAAAAAATTGTATAATGTGGAAAAAGTATAACGTGGCCATGCGGGTCCACCTATTTGAGATTCTAGCCAAAAAAACAAAACGGGGTAATGCTACAAGCCTACAATTTTGGAAAAAATATCATTAATATAATTATAATATATATATATATATATATATATATTATATATATATATATAGGAATAGGATCAGGTAAAAACAAGTGTTAAAATAAAAACTGAAAAACTTTTAATCTCAGCCGTTCATCAAATTGTATGGCTGAGATTTCTTTCCTCTTTTCAGACATGAATTTCTCTCTTCTCCTTAATTTCACGTTATTTTCTCTCTCCTTTCTATTCTCTCCTCTTTCGTACTTTCTCTCTCTTCAACCAGCTTCTCTGTTACTCTCTCTACTGTTGTTGCATCAAAAATATATGGCGAAAAATCTCTAGATTTCACAATCAGGTATATGATTATATTCGACAATTTGTTTGTTTTTTCAACGAATTTTCAGCGATTTTTTGTGATTTGATATTTGTGTTCTTATCTGTTCAATTTTCATGAATTTTGCATGAGTTCGATTTTTTCTGATTTGATTTTAAGAGTTTCGCATGGAGTTTTGATTTATTTTTTGTAGTTCGATTTTTGCAAATACAGGCTTCGATTTTGGCTTATTTTTGCGGATCTATAGTTCTATTTTAGATTTCGAATTTCAGAGATTTAGTGTTCAAATTAGTGTTTGATTTTAGCTGATTTTTTGCGGAGGTTTGATTTTTTTGAGTTCCATTTTTGCAAATGTAGGCTTCGATTTTTGCTTATTTTTTTCGGATCTATAGTTCGATTTTAAATTTCGAAATTTCAGAGATTTAGTGTTCAAATTAGTGTTTGATTTTAGCTGATTTTACATAAAGTATGAAGAATGCTTCCTGGTTTAAGATACTGACTTTGATTCTATATGTCCGACTTTTGGTGTTGAAGCAGACTGCTTAAGCGACTAAACCCTGGAGCTACAGACATCTGAGTGGATTTGTCACTGGCTAACATCTCAGTTCATCTTGATGTTGGGAAGGGAGGAAATAGTGGCTCAAATGC